TGGCAGGACCAAGTTCTAACTTCTAACACTTTGTTTCTTATCCTGTCCTCTGTATCTTCCACCACAATGTAGGCAAATACCTTTTTCCTGTTTGACAGTAGTGATATCTCTCCTGAGTCAGCTCCTTTCTAAATTGCTCTTTTTGACTATTTAATTTTCACACTTTGAATATGATTGAAATTTTAACCAAACACAGTCAAGCAAATCCAGCATGAAAGACACTCTTTACAGGCACTAGGTTATTGCTAATATATTCATTACTTTTGATATTTACTGAGAATTTGCAAGGAGAATTTACCAATGGTGAATACTAGCCTTAAGCTTCTATTGCCATTCTTGTGGATATATTGCTGTTTTTGAAGAGTTGAACATGAGGAAAAATTTACTTCTTTGCTCTCCTGATACATACTTTATATATATCCTGATATATCCTGATATATACACTGGATATACGTATTCAGGAGAGGGTAGCTGTTATGGGAATAGGAAATATTCAAGGTGAAGAGAGCCAGGTTCCTTTGCTTCAGTAGTATTAACCAAAGTAAAACTGTTTTCCTTTTACCTGAGCTGACTACATAATTTGTACAGTATCTTGCTTAAAATGCCTTTTAAATGTCTGAAAAAATGTTATAGTTCCACACCATATAAGGGTCTTGCTTTAGTAAGGAGTAGTGATGCTGCACAACACCAGATGTAGTTCTCTATGCAACCTATACAGTAATAAAAGTCAAGAAATGAACATATTGTTCCATATCTTTAGCCACAGTACAAGGTTTAGGCAAACAAAGGGCTCTGTTCCCTGTATCATTCCTAGCTACTGTTGTGCTTTATCCTAGGCTAAGAAGAGAAAATTAGATACATACATCATGGTTTTACCAGAAGTTTTTTGCACATGAGTAACCTGACATTTTTCCTTGATGGCAAACTTATTTTGTAGATGATAGAGTTGGCTTAAATTGAATTTTTCCCAGTTTCAGTGGAATGAGACATAAGGATGTCTAAGCAAAGCTGAAAAAGGTGAGGATAAACTGACAAAAGACAAGGTGGGCAGCTGTGCTGGTTTTGGCTGGAATAGAGTTAATTTTCTTCAAAAAAGAAGAAGGCAGCAAGTGTATGGCTGTGTTTGGGATTTGTGCTGGAAACAGAGCTGGTAGCTCAGGGATATTTCAGCTGTTTCTGAGCAGCACCTCCACAGAGCCAGGGCCCTTCCTGTCCATCGTCCCACCCACCAGTGAGGAGGCTGGGGGTGCAGGAGGAGCTGGGAGGGGACACAGCCAGGACAGCTGACCCCAACTGACCCAGGGACATCCCACACCATATCCCACACCCTATGGCTTCGTGCTCAGTATATAAAGTTGGATGACAAAGGAAGGGGGAAACATTCAGCGTGGTGTCATTTGTCTTCCCAAGTCACCGTCACACGTGATGGGCCCTGCTCTCCTGGCTGTGGCTGGACACTGCCTGCCCCTGGGAAGCAGGGAGTAAATGCCTTGTTTTGCACTGTTTGTGTGCACAGCTTTTGATTTCCCTATTAAACTGTCTTTATCTCAACCCATGTAACTTTTGTTCTGATTCTCTCCCTCATCCTGCCTTAGGGGGAGTGAGCAAGTGGCTCTGTGGGGCTGAGTGAGTTGCTGCTTGGGTTAAACCATGGGAGTAACAAAGGAAAAAATATTATTTAGAAGTGGGAAATATGAGGTTGGCAGGGGTCAAAAGCAAAGAAGATTAAGTCTGGATATGATCCAGATGAATACTTACACAAAGTGTTCAGTGGTCTTGATAACTGACATGATCAGCGTGATCATAATTTAAAACTTTGCATAAAACAGAATCAGAGTGTTGCAAAGAAAGAAGTGAGTGATCATCTTTGAGACTATGAATTATAGAAGTGGACCAAATTCAGTCCTGCAAAAGGCCATGTACATAGGAACACCAAAAATTTCTAATGTGGATTGGAGTTCATCAGTGGAAATTACTGAGCAGAGCACTGACCACAGGGTGACAGAACTGTTCATATGGTATGTCCATGAAAAGGGCATATGTAATTACAGGATATGCTAGAACTTATTTCCAGTGGAGAACAGGATGTATTCTTTCCAACACATGGTCCCAGGAAAAACTCACCTACAATTCTGTGTATAATTTTGATTATCTGTGTGAAACCAAGACAGGTTCAAATGCAGACAGATGCAGGGCACAGGAAATGAGAAAGCAGCAGAAATGATGGAAAAATAGAAAAGGTTTCCCTACAAATCAAAGAGCGAGAGGGGATGTTTTTTGCTGTCTATCAAAGCCCCAGAATAATCCTGGAGGAGGAGAGCACTTTAAACTAACAAAAACATTTGTGTTTAAACACAAATCTTGTAAGTAGGTTAAGAAACCTAGTCATGAAAACAGATGTTTCTAACCATTCAAAGAGTGAAGTTCTGGAAGATCCTTCTAATAAAAATGGAACACAGAGAACTAATGTAGCTGGTAAAAATTGTATGCATTACTGCCTATAAAAAGATTAGTGTATGATAATGATGTGTTGTTCTGGCTGTAATAACTGGGAACTAACAGCATGTAGTTCAGGCTTCTGGTTCTCCAGAATATTTTTTCTCTTACCCTGAGCATGGAGGGGAGTCCACATACAGCTTACAGATTTTAGATCTACTCAATGGATCAACACCTCTGCTCATCAGAAAGCAGGAGCTGTAACTCTGGAACAGACACCCCAAAGGCTTGTCAGGCAGCACCTGGGTGCTCTTCACACACTATTTCCATATATTTATTTATTAACTAATACACTAAGTAACTTTTTTTCTATTATTTACAGAGTGATGATAAATGGCTTTAAACCTTTACTTCCAAAATTCATGTTTTATTCTATACTCATCATAAACATGCATGGATATAAAATGGCAATACTTTTTTCTGTTAATTTTTATAATTTTAAGAGGCAGCTGAGACATTATGCACAATACACTAAATAGATTCATTTCTAATATTCCTACATCTTCATATACAACTTACCTACCCCAATTCTCTATGGATTGATTGTTATTCTTGAGCAATTACAGCAGCTCAAGAAACAAATCCACTTTCTCTCGTTATACTTTTTCATTGGCTTTTTTTTTTTAATTATATATTGAGTCCAATATTGTGGGAAATGGTGACTTTTATAGCTGCTAGGGGGAATACGAAAGAACAGCTTCATTTTGTATTAACTTCTGTTAGATACATTTTCAAAGAGGAGATATTTTCCCATATTGTTTAGGTACTTGGGAAAATGCCATCCTGAATAACATTTTGTAAGTACTATTGGAAAATGGTAATTGTTTCAAAAGCAATGGACTCTTCTGAACTAGATGGTTGTGCCAAGCAAAGTATATTAAGAGGAATAAAAGATTATGTTAGCAACATTCATAATGGGGAAAACCACCTCAGAACAAAACAAAACCATGCAAAGAATAAATAATGACCTAATTGAAATCCATAAATACTTCATGTGCTCTTTTTTTTTATTAGCTGTTAATAATGGCTGCATTGCAGAAATGCTTTCTGGATAGAAAGAGAACTAAGTGCCATGAAGGCGTTTCTGCAATAATTTACTATTGAACTTGGTTCATTTTGTTCCAAAACTGACCACAATTTCTAGCATGGGGAAAAAAAAAAAAGATAAAGGTATAATAATTCATGGAAACTGCTAACTCAAGAGAGCCCAATTAGAAGTCTTCAAAGGCAGGAATATGGGTGTCTTTTTACCTTAGGGTGTCTGGACAAGATTAACAGCATGCTTTCACTCTGGAGTATTTCTCTGTGAGCTACCTCAATGTTTGCAACACCAACTGTGCATGGCTGAGACTTTGCCTGGGGAGAGTTGAGGGGCTCTTTCTCACTTGTGTGTTTACACAGCATGACCTATGGTAAAGGTCTGAAATTTTCTATCAGTACAAGAAAATGGCAGCAATGGCTCCACAACACACAAATGGCAAACAATCTGTCCCATTCCCCACACAAACCACACCTCATCATGCTTTGCCAAGGAATAGGAAATGCTAATCTCGTCTTAAATGCAAGAGGTAGTCACCCTCTCAAGCACTTTACATCCATTTAAGACATTCCCCCCCCCAACTAGGAAAGCAATACAAATATCTCTATGTGCCCTGAACATATAGGGCAGAACATATATGTTTTTGACTTGTTATGAAACCCATGCAGCTAATGTGAGTCTATTAAGGCACAATCACTTCCTCATAAAATATATTGGGAACTTCTGGGGAAGTTCCTCAGAATTAAGCACCCATTGCCTAGACAGGCAGCAACATCTATCCCATAAGTAACATTAAAAACATTTCTACCTTAGTATACAAATATCTGCTCTCTAAGAGTGCTGTGTTCTCTCTGCTTCAAGACCCCAAATTATTTTAATTGAAATGCATTCACAGAATTCTAATTAAATACAGTCTACATTGGAAAAATTACACTGAAATGCATAAAGAGCGAAGAAACACCACATTTTAGGCAAACTTTTCCATTGCCTTCCACAAACTTTACAAGATACACTTTCTTATGACATATTACCTAGGTAGGGAGTAGAGTAATAGAGCATGCTAAAAAAAGTTTCAGAAAGTAAAGGTGATAGAATAAGTGTAGAGTAAGAGAGACATCACCATTTAAAACAGGCAGGTGGGCAAAGAGACGACAATAAACAAAACGAAAAGCGTGGGCATCCATCTCACAAACTACGCCCATTCACAAACGCAGGTTTGAAGTTACCTGCCATGTGCTTAAACCCCAGCGGACGATGCGCTAGACTCGAGCCCGTGCCCGAAAGCAGGCAGCCGCTCTCCGGGTGAGGGTGGCAGGACAAAGGCGGGCTCTCCCGCCGCTCCCCGCCGCCGGGGCTCCGCGGCTCCCGCACGGAGCGGGGCCGGACCCGCCCGCACGGAGCAGCCGCGGCCCCGGCGCCGCCCGGGCGGGACGCGGCTCGGTACCGCGGACAGCTCCGCACTCACCGTCCTCATTCTCGTCGAAGACGGGCGCCCTGTGGGAGTGGCCGCCCCCCATGTTATTCCGCGGCCGGCTCCGCATCCCCCGCCGCCAGCATCCCGCACCCCGGCAGCGGGGCAGCTCCCGCCCGCCGCCTGCCCGGCCCGGCCCGGCCCGGCCCGGCCCGGCCGGGGGAGCCTCCGCAGGGCTAGCAGTCACCCTGCGACATGAAAGCGATCCGTCTGCCCCTGGCAGAGAGCGCTGCTGGCTGGCGCGCACCGACTTGGCCCTTCTCTCATCGCGGAGGGGCAGGGGAGGGAGGGAGGGAGTTAGGGGAGGAGGGAGGGATGGAAGGGGGAGGGAGGGAGGAAGGGAGGGAGGAGGCGGAGGTCCTGCTGCCGGTGGCTTTTGGTAAGCGGTAAAAGCTGGATCTACCTGGATCCTCGCGGATCCTCCCGCCTCCGCTTTCCCTCCTCCCAGACCCGCGCTGGGGAGCGCGGAGTCCCCGCTCCTGCCCTGCCCTGCCCTGCCCTGCCCGACCCCCGGCGGCGGTGTCTGATGGGCAGTGGGTGCAGAGCCCTCCTGCCGCCCTGCCAGGCTGGCAGCGCCGGGTGCCCATCGCTCCCGGGAGGCAGGAGGGTGAACACTGCCCTTGGTCCGGATGGGTTTTTGTTTCGCCTCCCCACTGGGAGGGGGCGCTCACCGCCGGCAGCCCGGAGGGACGCGGCCGGCCGACCGAAGTTCGCTGAGTTTACAAAGTGGCAAAAAGGACCCAAGGGAGCTGTTCCGTTCCCTCCCGATCCCTGCCGACCCCTCCCGCTCCCCGGGCGGGGCGGCCCCGGGAGCGGCCGGGGCGGGCGGAGCGGAGCGGAGCGGGGCGGGCAGCCCGGCCCCGCAGCGCCACCTGCCGCCCGCGCGGGGCAGCGCCGCGGGGGGAGATGGGCAGGGGGAAAGTGTGAGTGAGTGTGAGTGTGTGTACATGTGTGTACATGTGTGTGTACATGTGTGTGTGTACATGTGTGTGTGTGTGTGTGTGTGTACGTGTGTGTGTGTGAGTGTGTGTGTACATGTGTGTGTGTACATGTGTGTGTGTACATGTGTGTGTACATGTGTGTACATGTGTATGTGTGTGTGTACGTGTGTGAGTGTGTGTACATGTGTGTACGTGTGTGTACATGTGTGTGTACATGTGTGTGTACATGTGTGTGAGTGTGTGTGTGTGTACATGTGTGTGTGTGTGTGTGTGTGTGTACATGTGTGTGTGTGTGTATATGTGTGTGTACATGTGTGTGTGTGTGTGTGTGTGTGTACATGTGTGTGAGTGTGTGTGTGTACATGTGTGTGTATACATGTGTGAGTGAGTGTGTGTGTACATGTGTGTGAGTGTGTGTGTGTGTACATGTGTGTGTGTACATGTGTGTGTGTGTACATGTGTGTGTGTGTGTACATGTGTGTGTACATGTGTGTGTACATGTGTGTGAGTGTGTGTGTGTACAGAGATGGACAGGGGAAATGTGTGTGTGTGTATACATGTGTGTGTGTGTGTGTACGTGTGTATACGTGTGTGTGTGAATGTGTGAGTGTGTGTGTACATGTGTGTATGTGTGTGCACATGTGTATACATGTGTGTGTGTGTATGTGTGTGTGTGTGTGCAGAGATGGACAGGGGGAATGTGTGAGTGTGTATAAATGTGTGTGTGTGAGTGTGTGTGTGTGTACATGTGTGTGTGTGTGTGTACATGTGTGTGTGTGTACATGTGTGTGAGTGTGTGTGTGTACATGTGTGTGTGTGTGTACATGTGTGTGTACATGTGTGTGTGTGTACATGTGTGTGTGTGAGTGTGTGTGTGTACATGTGTGTGAGTGTGTGTGTGTATGTCTACAGAGATGGACAGGTGAAGGTGTGTGTGTGTATAAATAAGTGTGTGTGTGTGTGTGCAGAGATGGACAGGGGGAATGTGTGAGTGTGTATAAATGTGTGTGTGTGAGTGTGTGTGTGTACAGAGATAGACAGAGTGAATGTGTGAGTGTGTGAGTGCACGTGTGTGAGTGTGTGTGTGTGTACAGAGATGGACAGGGTGAATGTGTGAGTGTGTGTGTATACGTGTGTGAGTGTATACATGTGTGTGTTTGTGTGTGTGTGTGTGTGTATAAATGTGTGTGAGTGTGTGTGTGTGTGTGTGCGTGTGAGTGTGTGCAGAGATGGACAGGTGAATCTCTGTGTGTGTATACATGTGTGTGTGTACAGAGATGGACAGGGGGAATGTGTGTGTGTGTGTGTGTACAGAGATGGACAAGTGAATATGTGTGTGTGTGTGCACATGTGTGAGTGGGTTCAGAGATGGACAGGTGAATATGCGTGTGTGTGCATGTGAGTGTGTGCAGAGATGGACAGGTGAATGTGTGTGTGTGTGCATGTGTGTGAGTGTGTGTGGAGACGGACACAGGTAAATACGTGTACATGCATGCACGTGTTTGTCTGGAAATCACTCCCTTCTAAAAGTGCATTAGGGAAAACTGCCAGCACGGGTAAGGGATTACACGGATCACCTGCCATGTAGCAAAGCTTTCTAGGCTTGCTGTTGATATTTATAGACAGAAATAGCTGTATCTCTCCCTTACAAAAATTCTACCATTGGCAACCTTTGAGGTGAGGTAGAAACAATTGTGTTTGGCACTTCTTCCAAGGGGAAACAGGTTAAAAAAATTTAAATATCTATATTAATACTGTAACCAGGTCAAAGCCTTTGCAGTTCCTCCAGGGGAAACCTGCAGACAGAAAAAAAAATCAAATGGAAGTTGTGTTTTTGGCTTCTTCACTGTTACATGAGGAGAAGAGGGAGAAAGAATAGAAGCCAGAAACTAGGGTATATGTATTTCCTTATATAAAGGCAAAAAGGCTTCACCATTCTTCCGTAATATTTACCACCCTTCTTTCAGTATAGCTGTTTAGAAAATCCCAAGAGCAAATAATACAAAGCAGAAGAACTTTGATTCTCTTTGCATGTGACTTTTACCTGCCTTAGTTACTCTCATGACCTGTCTTTGAACCCTATATAATGCTGCTGTAACCTCTCTGGAAAAGGCTGATTAGACTTAAATGAAGTGGGTAAGGTCCTGCGCTGTGTGGCTGAGAAGTTGGAGCTTACAGCTTCTACAAACCCAGAAAATTGATAAATTCAGACATGGTGATGTTTTTTCCATAAGAAGACATGGACAGATTGTATCACCTGCTGATGTTCTTTACTTAAATTATTTGGGTTACTATTATTTCCATGTGAAAACATTTGCAAAAATAGGGGGGCTTTCAAAACTTTGACCTGTGATTATTCTTCTAAGATGGAGTCTGGAAAGCATGACTAACTCTTTGTTATTCTTTTGTTTATTACTCACCCATTCAAAGATTTAGTCATCCAGTCAGGAGCAGAAATAATGTAATGTTACTGAGTTTGTGTTCCTTCAGCCAGAAGACAGCAGTAATACTTAGAAATCACAGAGCTTCAGCTCTCTTTTGCGTTACCTGACCAACATGTGCTTGGTCTTAATCCATTTTCTTTAACAGGAGCAAGGAGGACTGCACTTAGGTTTCAGCTGATAAGAGTTACCTTCTGCCTGAGCTAAGGACTTCCAGTCAATCTAACTGCTTCAATCCACATGGAAGTGTTTTAAAGTGGCCTTCCAAGTAACATGAGCAACTAGTTTGCCAATAAACCCCCAGGCTGACCATTTTACACACGAGAAACCCATCTATAGAATATAGATATGAGGGATGAGCAGGAGCAGTTTGGTATCCCATTGCATGCATAAAACACAAATTCATTGAAAACTACTTCAAACTGCCTCCAAGAGTTGTTCCATTTCTTTTTTGTGCCTGACTTCCTTCACATAGACCAGAAGTCTAGCAAGTTTTCTGAGATTACTTTCTTGATTTCATAGGAGAAGACCCATCATAACCAAAACAGTTCTAACAATTTACAGAACAATGAGTTGTATCTACCCATTAATTAATCACTCCAAATAGATTGCTGTGTTGTTTTGACTCCTTTTTGACAGCTTTGCAATAAATCTGCCCTTGATTTGTGCAAAATTCAGGTTTATGTTTAAACCTCAGCATAGCTAGGAGGTTAAGACAAATGGCATACTGTGTTAATGTGAAATGTGATAAATTATCATTTAGTAATAAAGCATTGATGAGACATTATTTTTTATTAATTGATAACATTATATTCCTCTATAACTCTTGTACTTGAGTAGTGCCAGACATTATCCTTCACAGTCATTTTCTGTAGAAACGGACAAAAAAAATTATCTGACAAGAATTGTTGGGTTTGCTGCTCTGAAAGCAGTGTAATGTAGTCCTTGCATCAGTGTCTGAGCTGTGTTTGTATGATACTCATCATCTTCCTGGGAGCACCAGTGTTTCTGCAACTAAATCAGAAGTTGTCCAATGGTGCTAAGCTTAGATGTGTGCTCAGAGCCCAGCCAAGACTCAAGGAAACCAGTGGCAGTTTTCCAGTACCTTTGACATGACTAATGTCAAGCCTTGGACACATGGGCTGCTTATTCACGTGGTTCAGGGCTCCCCTTTGTCCTTTGCAACCCTGAAAGCATGCTACACTCTGAACAGAGACATAACTCCAGCATCTTTTTTCTTAAAATTATTCAGGACCATCTGAATGCCATTGCGTCTGCTTCAAATTTAGCAACAACTCTTCAAGAACAATTACTCATATGTTTTTCCAATTGCTTTTGTAAACCAGAAATAAGTCTGAAATTCTTTATCATAACATCATGCATATCAGTACAGCTCTCTGAAGCCTGAGAATTCTCAGAACAATTAAAAGTTTGCTCTTCTGGGACAGAGATTTCTAAGCTACAAGCAGTTCCTAAGTCTTGCAAGACCAAAACCAAACCAAACTTCTCATGTTTATCCTTTCTCTGAAAAGACAATCAGGTTTTTCTTGAGATAAACGAAGTTCTAACCTTAAAAACACATTTTATTTTTAGCAGGTAACTGCTGCATAGCCTATACAGAAAAGAGAGTAAGGGAAAAGGACGGTCGAATAGAGCTCTTTTCTTCCCCCTCTTTTCTTTCCCCCTTCCTCCTGCAATCAGCATGAACATCATTTTGAGATATTGTTTTACATTTTCATTTAAGTCCTATGTTGTCTGGCTTAGATTAATAGTGATTTTTTCAGATCTCCATGCAGCATTAGCAATAAAGAAAATCAAATATGATTACACTCCTTTGCATTATAAAACTTCCCTCGAGGAATTCAGTGGTTTAAAGCCAGT